CTGAATAATTTAAATTAGGATACACTTTATTGAAAGTTATGTTTATCCTATGAGCTAAGGATCTTATTGTTTCCTGAGGTTTCAACTAAATATTATTCAAAGCAAAAATAGATGAATTATCATCTTGTCTAAAAAAAATCCAAAAGTTTATGTTTTATTTCAGCCAGTGTTTTCATTTTAACCAATGAAGGTTCTTCAATATAAAATTTTAGAGCATTGCCTGAGATTTAAGATCTAAAAGTTGCAATAGCTTGTTCGTCATTTAAAGAATTTATTTTTACATAATCTTCTAATTGAAGAAAGAAAAACTTTAATGTGGTTGGATCACCAGCAAAGGGTTGAATATGAAAGTTTATATTTTTCTTACGTTTAGACATATTTAATAATCAGATAACTTAAAATTATATATTGATATATATATATGAAAAATAGTTATACCAATTAAAATATCAAGTTAAGAAAAATAATCACTTTAAAAATGAAAATATAATAGTAATAATAAATTGTAATCATTAAAATAAATAGAATATAAGATATTCATATTAAATGAAAATTAATTCCAAAAATATTTAATGAGAATAAGAAATAATTGCTTTAAAAAATGCTATGCATTCAAAATATTAAGTACTGGATCTGTAAAATAATCAATTAGAAATTGAAAAGCACTTAATAATGCAAGTATCTAATAATTGTGTTAATTTAAAAAAAATTCACTGCAAAAAAAAAGGCACTGCAGTTTGTGTAAAAAAAATTTCTCTCTGATTTTTGATTCTCTTGTAAGTGAAAGAAAGAAAAAAAAATTTACTGTTAAAAGTGACACACTTGACAATCATTTCCGTTTGCATTTCACTTGGGATTAGTGCACCCTGATTAATCCCAATTACTTGTTTAAATTACGGTTGGAATTTTGAAAAAAACGAGGATACTGACGGGGATTACTATTAGGCCTATTTGCCCTGGGATATCTTTGATTGAAAGAAGAAGCATTAGGGTTTAATTGTGAGTTATGTGATGGTCTAGCTGGGTTGGACAATTGTTGAAAAGTGTAGCAATTCGCCATCACATGTTTGCGTTTACCGCAGAAAAGACGGAATAGATTTTGAGAAACATTAGGGTGGGAAGGTCGATTGAACCTGAAAGAATTATTTGGTGTATTGAAAGACCTTATATGGGGGGAGGGTTTATTTCTACCAACATCATTATTGTAGTCGTATCTCCAAATAGAGTAGGTCTTTCCATGCATTTAGGGAAACGATTCCACCATCATTGTAGTCGCCTATCCAGATATATTCTCCATAAAACCACAAATATTTTCCATGTAATCCGAATGAATATCTGCTCGAATCAAACTTCACAATTGCAGGGCCCACAAACTTCAAATCATAGACGTATTATTTACTTATGTTTGTAACACCGAAAAATCGACTCGTGGGCGATGAAAAATTAAATTAAATTAGTGACATTAAAAAAAATCGTCACCCAACACTGTGACAACATGTTTGGATCTTAAAGACATTTCTACGTCTTCTGTTCATCAGGCCGGGAAAAATCATTGGAATACGCAAAATAATAATAAATTACATAAAATTTATCCTAACCTTGATAATTGTAAGACACTAACTGCTGATCGCAAAACCCAGACGTTAATTAATAGACTACATATCAGTCATACTCGTTTTACTCATATGCATTTACTGAAAGCCGAGCCTGCAACCAGCTGTACCCAATGTCAAGTTGACATTCCAATTAAACATATATTAACTGACAGCAGATGATTCAAGTATTTGAGGAAGAAACTTTTTGGCTTATTTTATCCTGATTTTTCATCCCTACTTAGTGACCGTATGCATCACAATCTCATCAAGTTCATTAAAACAATAGGACTGTATTCATTAATATAAGTAAAAGTGCAACACTTTTGCCTAGTGACTGGCACAGTATAGCCACTTCTGGCTCTTGTGCCAATGAGCTTTAGCCAACCAACCAAATTAAAAGTTATAATTATATTTTTATTATTTAATCATTATACTATTATATAAGGAGGAGGACCACACTTACCCATAGCTGCTCGTAATGAGAGTCTAGCTTGCAATCGGACTGAATTTTCTGTATTCTGCGTATTTCCTCTTTTTATGGAGTTTATTTATACATTTTATTTCAAGGGGTCAAACGTGATCTCGTGGTTTTATCATGCATCCGAGGATCGATAAATCAAACATAATCTTGTGACAAATTTCTAGAAAGTTCAACTGAGCATTGTAATTTGATTGCGAGATGAGACCGCGGGATCAACTGTATCAAAATATTAACAAGTTTGACCACGAGAATTGTCACGAGGCAACGTCTTGACATAAGTCCACCAATTGTAACGTTTCCTGCAAAATAATATTTCTTAACAGAATCAGCAGGCACAGTATGGAAGTTGAAATATAAAGCAGTGTAGTAAACCTTATAGCAAAATAATTAATTTTCATAAAGTTATATGTATCTGACATATTCAGAAATGTAGCATTTACACCGATAAAATTTTACTCAGTTTACCACGTTAAAATCGACGAGCATTATCATCGCCGACAATTTTCTGAACATTCTTGTACCATCTTAAATGTTTAATTTCATAATCATGAGTTAAATATTTGACGCTATTTTTGCATTACATGGGCCTGTTTCTTGCGACTAACCATGTAACGTGGTCGCCACTTTCTTCTTTTCTGGAGGCGTATTTTCGGACGACGATAAAAATACTTCCGATGATATCTCCGCAGTCTGTTGCAGCACTGATTAAACACGTTTCAAAGCAGCACTATTTATGCGCTTCGTAATCAAAGGAGGATTTGGAAAAAAAATCATACACGCTAAAACGTGCTCGCAGAGCTGTCAGCACGTTTCCATCAAAACACTCCTCTAGTAAAAAATTTGACGTGCAATAAATTTTTTTGCATCTTATAACCATACTCGCACACATTTTATTTGTATACACTTAGGCATTTGAACCGTTTCACCATATTCTTTGGCGCAGCATGTCCTCATTTGAACCTTGTGCCACTAAACCCTACATTTAATTAATCGCACACTTTATTTCGTCATTAATTGGGTAAACATCAGACCATATTTTTAAGAAATAACCTAACCACTCTCCGTGTGAAAGCTCGACGTCACTTAACAAAACATCTTCATTCTTATATCCTTATTTAAAGCTTTAACATACAATGATTTCTCATGACGGACAACAAAATCTTTGCAACATCTGGGGGTACCACTTGTCCATACACCACAAAAATTAGTCAATTGCTCCACTGAAAATTGCCGAATAGACTCTAAAGTCTTTTTATAACTGATATATTTGCCTGGGCGGTCGGCTTTAATTTTTATCGAACTCACCTTTATCAATCAATCTCTGGATTCAAGATTTCGACCAGTAGTGCTCAGTAACGATCCAAATTCGTAGAACGCTCCATCTCTTTTATAGTATTCTGAAGCTTCCTCGACGCCGACGTCTACAACTGGCAAGTGTAGTACGGTTCTTAAATACCACATAACCCTGGAAATGTTTGCGATTCGAAGTTGGACAAGTCTCCCGACCATAAATAGGATATTCGTGAACTCCTGAGTCAAAAATTAGTTCATTTTCAACGTTAAAACTAGGAAAACTCACGTTTTACAACGAGACATCTAGAAAAAACAAACGACGCGTTCAAGATACTTTTTTATAGACTTACTATCTCTCTCCACTAAATCCGATCAAAGCACAAAAGGATATATGGTTGGTGTTACAATTTTTATGCATTTCGAAGCAATGTAATGAGCGACACATCTTGTAATCTGGACAAATTACGGTTCGGGTTATAAAACAGGAGTCTGAAAGACACAAAAGGCATTTATTTTTACTTGTGTGAGCAGATTTAGTTTTATACTCTATGCCACAGTATGTGCAGTAATATGAAGCTCCTAGATTTTCCAGGAATGCTGAAGGTTACCTAAAATGAAAATACTGCACGGTTAGTTTGTTTCCTTTAAAAAATATTATAATTTTAAAATATTAATATTTAAATAACATACCTTACTTTAAGAACTTTGGTGTCAACTACATTGATTTGAATATTTTAATGTAACACAAACTTCTCTAGTTGTGAATGACCGCCGAGTTCGAAAGTATACATATGATGACCTACTCAACACTACTGGTGTGTTTAAGCCAGATGGCTCACAACTACTTAGACAACAAAAGGAGAAATTAGATATTAAAATTCATCCTTGTGGACGGATCTGAATAAACATTATATATACACTCGTCTCAACAACATTATTAAGATTATAAATCAGGGACTTCTGGAGTTATGATTTAGCCAGAACTATTTCTCGTATGAGACAAAGAAACTATCACTAAATACTGTATTAGATTAAGACTTGGATAAGAAAAAAAAATTAGATTATGAGAAGTGGGCAGGAATGCACAAACCCCAAGGAACAAGGATGGAGGATTATCACCAGGAGATGACAGCAACAGGATAGAACCAGACTCAAGACAGTGTTGAAAGCCTGCGCAGGGCTTGCTATCACGACCAGCATCATAACATCAACTAGTCAACAGTAAGAGTTCTTCCCATAGTGGCATGTCCAGAGGAGGAGTGGATACTCCAGAATAGAATGATGATTATTTGAAATTGACTGCTTGAAAAGATAAGATATACTGAGATCCATGTTTTGGATTGGAGTGATTGAGCAGAGTTGACACAATGGAGGAGTGCTATAAGTGAAAGATGTCTCACAGGGTTTGTTTATTTCTGATGATAGTCCATTGATTTATAGATATAAACATTATGCTGAAGCAACAGACTTTACTGTTGATCAAGAATCATGAGATAGTTAATCTGGATATTCACGATGAGAGCCTTGATAGGATAAAAATTATATTAGATGAGATTGATGCAACTGATAATGGGTAGTTAAAGGACGGCTGTACTGGAAGCCATTGCGATGTAATGAGTGTGGAACTGGAACTAAGATTTTCTGCTACGTAAATTGTATTGACAGACAGTTTTAGGAGAAGTGCTGATTGTTGGAGAGATACAGTCCAGTAGACGATGTTGTCTTGGAGGAGCACAATGTAGAAGGTCGATATGGACAGTTCTTGATGGGGAAAACTTATTATCCAGCCACTGGATTTCAAAGATGTGGGTGTTGATCATAGAAAATGGTCCTTGGAACTTTGTTTTAAAGGAGGTGTCATCTTTGAGGTAGACAGTGTCACCGACATTAATTTGTCGCAGCTTTGATTTGGTTGAGTGTCGTTTGTTTTGGATATCTTGGGCTGCTACAAGATTTTCATACGTAAGTTTGTAGGTAGACTTAAGTTGTGTGAGGACTTGTTGAATGTAGGAAGAAGAATCAAGTTGGCTTGGTGAGATTTCTTTGTTAAAAGTGTCGAAAAAGAGTGAAACTTGTCTCCCGAGGTGAAGGAGGTTGGGACTGAATCCAGTCGTAGAATGTGTCGCTGCATTGTACATTTGCTGATGAATTTGTAAAGCAATTTCAAAAAATATATTGTTTTCTTTAAGGATTTTAATAGATTTAATCGACAGGTTAATTCTTTCAGATTGTCCATTTGATTGGGCATGGTATGGAGTTGCATGAGAACTTTATGCCCGGAGTATTATTTAAACAGTGAAAGGCCTCTGCAATGAATTGTTTCCCTCGGTCGGTTAAGATGAAGGCATGTCGTCCATGTAGAGAAATGTAATTAAGGATGTGTTTAATTATTTGATTAGAGGTGATGTTGAGGAGAGGATATAACACTAGGAATTTGGAGAAGTGATCGAGAACTGTTAAAACATGATGGCCATCAATTGGACCGAGGATGTCCAGTGATATGAATTGACCTGGGTAATCGGGAATCCAGTGGTTTAAGAAAATAGCTTGCTTTGGTTTGATTCTTTTTAGTCTAATACATTTATCGCAGGACAGGACATGGAATATGCAGTCAGTGTACATATTTTTCCAGAAATATCTTTGTGTAAGGAACTGGTATGTTTTCTCAAATCCAAAATGATTGAAGTGAGCAATCTGGAGAGTCTTGGACTTCAAAGACTCTGGAAGGACAATTTTCGTATCATCTTTATGGGAAAGAAACATAAGGACATTGTCTTGAGGATGTAGAAAAAAGTTTTTAAACTGTTGAAGAGTCTCTAAGGGAATTGGATTTAAAAGACTGGATAACTTCAAGTGTGGATGGATCATTCATCTGTTCTTGACGGATAGTCGAGATGGAGATTTCATTTTTTGGAGTGTTCGTCACCAAGACATTGATAGTGTCTATATACGGGAGGATAAGATCATCGGTGGTTTCAGAGAAAGATATAGGTGTCTTCATTTCTTGTCCATTAGGGATGCGGGACAGGTAGTCTGGGAGCACGTTCTTTGAGCCAAGAACGTGTTGGATAGTAAAGTCATATTCACTGATTTGTAAGAGCCACCTCGTAATTAGGTCAGCGGGTGATTGGACTTTTTTGTAATGGATTAAAGATTTTGCAGGACAAACTTGCGATTATATAAATATTGTTTGAAAGCAATGATGGATTTAAAGATAGTAAAGAGTTCTAGTTTGATTGCAGGATACGATCTTTCTGAAGGGGAAAGCATTTTGCTGAAGAAACTTACAGGATGGAGGTTACCTTCTTTTTCTTGTAGTAAGACACGCAATTTCAACTTTGGATGCATCCGTGTTGAGGATGAAGGACTTGTTCCAGTCAGGAAGAATGACGAATGGAGTGGAAAAAAAGATATGTTGTAATTTTTGGAAAGCATTATTACATTCTGCTCTCCATTTAAATTTGGAATACTTCAGTGTCGCTTGAGTTAGAGGGAAGATGAGTTCCGAATAATTTGGTATGAGATGACGATAGAAAGAGCACACACCAAGAATTTTTTTTGTCTGTCTTGCAGTTTGAGGTGGTGGAAACCTCGTAATTTTGATGATGTTTGAGTTGACAGGCATAACTTTCTTCTCAGAAATGTGGAATCCTGAGTAGTTGATAGAAGTTTTAAAAAACATGCATTTTGATGGTGAGAAGGTAAGGTTGTATTTTACAAAGATGTCTAGAACTGCTTTGAGTTTTGTGGAAAAATTATCGAAATTATAGGATCCGATGAGTACATCATCTTGATATGGGAAAACATCTTCAATTCCAGAAAGACGAAGTTCATCAACGATGGAGTCCATCAGTGCTTGGAATATTGAAGCGGCAGTTTTGAGTCCATAAACCAGACGTTTATTTTTGAATGCACCAATTGGCGTGACAAACGTTAAGACATCCTGGAGGTTTTCCGGGAGTGAAATTTGTGTATATGCGGAAGACAGGTCCATTAGAGTGTAGGTAGAGTACTTGGCAAGTTTAGATATTAAATGTTGGGTAGCGGGTAAGTGTCATGCTCAATGATGGTGTTTAGTAATCTGAGATCAAGTGCTAGTCTAAATTTAGGTTTTGTGTTAAGATTTTCTTGCTTCTTCTTACCATCAGGAGTGGACAAGCCCTTGGGCTGACGGTACATTCGATGATGTTGGCGTCCAATATTTCTTTCAGATGTGTATTCGCTATATCCTACAGAGCCTCAGGAATAGGAAAAGGTTGAGTTTTGATGGGTGTAAAAGATTTGAATTTAAGATATGGAGATATTTTATCGGTGTGTCCAAGAGTTTTAAGACTTTTGGAGAAAGCTGAGAATTTAGACATTAATATGCTTTTGAGTTTGGATTGATGTTCATAAGAAAGGTGATTGAGTTCAAAATCATGTTCGGTGAGTTTAGCTTTCCTTAGTTTGATAACATCTTCAGATGCTTGAATAAGATTGACTTGATCTACGTGATGTTGGATGTGTTCATCAGGATTGGAAAGAGTTGAGTGTTGAGTTAGGATATACTTCTCCCATAACACAATCTTTGTTGATATGGACGGCTGAGTCAGAAACCTTTTCTACAACAGTGGTAAATTTGCTGTTGTTGATGGTATGAAGGGCTTCATGGACTTTTATGTTTTTGTTTTTGATACAAAGGATGAAAAGGACTTGCGGATGTGTATCATGAAGAATGTTCAAGACTCTAAGTTGTATAAAGATAGCTTCCTTCGGATGGATTATGACTTTTTGATTTGTGACAACCTTATGTTCTGGAAGAGCATTCCGATGAACAACAGGATGATGACTTGATTGCTCTTTATGTTCTTGTGATTGTTGAAAGCCAGATTTATCAATTGGAGTGATTTCTTGCGTTGTTTGAGAAAGATGAAGGATTGGGATGTCTGAGTAGTCTGTTATCTGGGTATCTTCATCCAACTTGGAAGTGTCAACATTGGAGTGACAGAATTGGACTTGCTCGTCTTGGATTGTGAGCCACGATGAAATCGTATCCAAGAATGCCATGAAAAGACTGATTCAACAGCGGGATGATATAAAGAGGATGTTTAAAGAATTTGTGTTGGATTTTGAAAGAAGCTTCAATTAACGCTTCAAAATCGAGACTTGAATTGATAGTTGTAATTGACACTTGTCGGGATAATGAAATGAGAACCTTTAGTTTTTCTACCGTTTCCTCAAAAGAATTACTTGCAATGACTATATCATCTTGGTACGCGAAAATTCCCTCCAGTTGAGTTTCCTCAATTATTGAATCCATAAGGGCCTGAAAAGTTGCAGAAGCTGTTTTTAAGCCAAAAACTAATCTTTTATTTTTAAAAGTTCCCCAAAGGGGTTGTAAATGCTAGTTTATCTTGGTAATCTTCAGAAAGGTTCAATTGCCAAAAAGCACTAGGAAGATCATATGATGAAAAGAATTTATAATTAGATAAATTTAGAATAATATTTTGAATTTTAGGAAGTGGGTAAGCCGAATGATTAACAATGCTGTTATTTAATCGTAGGTCTAAAGCTAATCTAAATTTTTGTTTTTGTTTGGGGTCATTAGTATTCTTTTTCTTAACCGAAAGCATTGGGCAAGACCACTGTGTTGCACTTCTTTCGATCAATCCTGCTTCGACCATTNTCATTTGTTAACTGGGTATTTTCATCCAACTTGTAAGTGTCAACATTGGACTTTCTCGTCTTGGATTGTGATAAAGTTCTTTTGTGGATGGATCAAGATGTTGTGAGCTACGATGAAATCGTATCCCAGAATGCCATAAAAGGACTGATTTAACAGCGGGATGATATAAAGAGGATGTTTAAAGAATTTGTGCTGGATTTTGAAAGAAGCTTCAAAATCGAGATTTGAATTGATGGTTGTACTTGACACTTGTCGGGATAATCTTCTTATTTTTTGTTTTTGTTGCAAAGACGTAAAGATATGTTTGCCTAAAAGGGATACTGAGGAACCGGTATCCAAGAGAAACTTCACAATGGTTCGGTTAAATTTGACTTCGATGATAGGTAGTTGATTACTTGTGAACACGCTCATCACACAATTTTCTTGACGACAAGTATTTTGTTTGACACCAATGAAATGTTCATCGAAAAAGGACTGGATAGAAAAATTGTTTGGTGACATAGGTAGTTTCAAAAAATCGATAATGTTTGGTTTGCAAGTAATAGGCTTGGGCGGCTGGAGTTGTTCACTTGGGATTAGTGCACCCTGATTAATCCCAATTACTGGTTTAAATTACGGTTGGAATTTTGAAAGAAACGATGATACTGACGTGGATTATCATTAGGCCTGGTTGGCCTGGGATATCTTTGATTGAAAGAAGGAGCGTTAGGGTTTAACTGTGAGTTATGTGATGGTCTAGCTGGGTTGGAGAATTGTTGAAAAGTGTAACAATTCGCCATCACATGATTGCGTTTACCGCAGAAAAGACAGAATAGATCTTGAGAAACATTAGGGTGGGAAGGTCGATTAAACCTGAAAGAATTATTTTGTGGATTGAAAGACCTTACATGGGGGGAGTGTTTATTTCTACCACCATTATTAGAACGGGACATGGATTCTTGTTGTTGAAGTTTGGTATTCAACTTTTTGATTGTTTCGCGTAATTGCGAAACTTCCTCATTTTCATCCGCTTGGATACTGTTAACATTTTGAGACTGTCTGATAGAAAGGGATTTAAGTTCCATTTTGATTGAATTGATTGACTCTTGGAGAGTCGAGAGAGTATTAGATGAGGGATCAACATGGGAGTTGGCTGATGTAGCCTGAATGGCCTGTTCTGCAGCAATAAACCTGGCCGCCTTTTGTGTGAGATGGTCAAAAGATTGGTCATCCTCCATGAGGAGTTTTTGTTTGAGGTGATAGGGTAAGATTTTGACAAATTGAAGAGATAAAAGAGCATCGATTGCATTAGGTGGAGTGTCTTTAAAAGCCTTACCCGCAGCAACTTTAAGTCGGTGAGCTAAGGAACGTATGCTTTCACCTTCCAACAGCGTTATATAATAAAAGACCAAAAATAAAATAAACCTAAGTTTTATTTCTGCTCAAAACAAAAGGACAAAATTTTACAAAGTTAGCACATTCAATACAATAGTA